TCCGAGGCCAAGCTTTCAAATGTTGACGCATCTCTCAATATTTATTACATACTTATTTCAGTCTTTGTAGTTCTCTGCTAGATTTTTAGGGACTATACACATACAAAATAATTTTAAATGTTGTTCAGCTATAGGACTAAGTTTTTTAGACCTGCCTAAACGTTTCAAGTCTCTATTTTTCTTAGTTTTTAATTTTTGACGATATAATGAATTTCAGAAATAGAACCTTCAACTTATTTTTGAATTTACCTTATTATAAGTCCTCGTCGATACAAAATTATAATTTTATGTCGGTAAAAAATATGATATTTAGCCATTTTATGAAGTAAAAAGAAAATTAAATAGAGAAAAAAAAAGAAATTTTGCAATGAGAAATGTTAAGTTAAATCGAAAAATAACGAAGGATTCTATATTAGAACAATTTTTACAGATTCACTAAGCTTTACAGAGCTTATACAATGGCTCTTAACATTAACAGTAAATAATAAAGACTGTAGTGGACAACAATGTAGTGAAATATGAACAATGAGGACTCCCAATGAAGTCCTATAATGCCCCTATTGTTATATTAAAATATAATGGAGATGTAGATGTACATTATTATTATTATTTATTTATTTTTAAAAATCTATTTTGGATTCTTCAATAAATTTGCACAATGCCTTAATGGTATCCGTCCTAGATCAGCCAGCCCTTGGAGGAAAGTGCTATTGTTTTGGATGAGGGAGTATTTCTTCCGATATTTATCATATCTATTGCATTTTAAAATAATGTGTAATGGGTTCTCGATGAAGTTACATGTCGAATACTTATCATTTGTTTCCAACTTTAATTAATCTCAACCCGCTATTCGTTCGACCATGCTTAATTCTTAATCTTGTAAGTAAGACTATTTCTGTTCTGTTTGACTTAAGACTTAAGTGTGCGTAGAGAGACGTTATGCTGGATAGTGAAATTATCTTTACCTTTCGAACTTGACACCCAGTCATACCTATCCTGCCATTCACTAATAAAGTGTTTTTTCTCCCATCTATAAATTTTCTGTAAAGGTAGTTTTGCATTTTTCACCTTCCAGAACCTAGTTTTGCTATCATATCAGCTCGTTCATCTCCCTACAAACCCACATGACCTGGAACCCATTAAACCTGAAATTTTATATTTGTTGAACGATGAACTTTTTCTATTATATTATTTATTAGGTACGATGAAATATGTTATCGGTGTATATTCTTCAGTGAATTGCACACGGAAGCCGAATCAGTTAGAATTACGACTTTTGTATTCTTATATTTTCTGTTGGCTAATTTGAAAGCTTCAACGACACCGTATAATTCAGCACTTTATATGATAAACTTTGTAGGGAGGTTTATGGATGTATCGTGGTTATATTGGGCATCATATATCCCAACTGCAACTTTTCTATTATCTTTTATCTTTAGTCTGTATACATTTTTTGATAATTTTTGTATTTTTCAGACAATATTTCGTGTGTTTTCCGTTTTAGAACTGATGGTGGATAGTGTATTTTGGACAAATCTGATTGGAAAAGCTTGGTATTCGTTTTTATAATAATTTGTGATTTTGGTATGGGAGTACATAGTTCGAGTGCTCCGAGGTAGGTAGGAATATTCAATAATAATAATAATAAATTTATTTATTGAGCAATTTTACAAATGCATTTTGGCATATTTTGTAAATGTGATGTTCGTTAGCGAACCTTCTCTCCGGGATTAGCGTGAATACGTGATTAGAGAAGCCTCCCAGAGAAGGCACTCCTAACGTGACTCCTGACGCAGCAGATCTCTGCTCCAGAGGCGCTTGATTCTCCTTGGTGGATTCTGTGGTAGTGTGTCTGTTAGTAATGTTTGTACAAGTGGATTAGGATGTCCAGCTAAGGAGTCATGGAAACTTTTATAATATTTTTTAATTACATCAGTCACTTGTGATATTTGTAGGTCTTTATGAAGTGATTTATTGGTTATGTAGAAGGGACAATGAGTGATATAACGGAGAAATTTTGATTGGAAAATTTGAATAGTCTGTAAGTGTGTTTTTTTGCATGAACCCCACACCTGAGAGGCATACGTCCATATTGGTCTGAGTAGCATGTTGTATATAGTAATTTTGTTAGAAAGTGATAGTTTGTTTTTATGGTGTAGCATTCGTCTTAGTAGTGATAACCGATGGTTCAATCTCTTTTTTAATGTAGTCACGTGTGATTTCCAGGTCAGTCGTCTGTCCATTGTGAGTCCTAGATATTTTGTCTCAGTATGATTTGGCAAAGGGGTGTTGTAAAGTGTTAGTGGAGGGCAATCCGAACGTTTAAGTGTAAATGTAACCTGGTTTGATTTTTGAATGTTAATTTTTATGCGCCATTTATCAAGCCAGTCTTGTAGAAGATTTAAATGAATCTGTGCTTTCTGAGATGCTGTGATCGGATTAGAGTCAGTCGAGAGTATGACAGTGTCGTCTGCGTAAGTTGCGAGTAATGTGTCTGGTGTCTGTGGAATATCAGAAGAGTAAATTGAGTACAGAACCGGACCTAAAATACTGCCCTGCGGTACTCCCGCGCCGATTCGGCAATAGTCGGAGTATTTACCATCCTGGCTAACAATAAAAAATCTATCCTCAAGATACGATCTGATTATTAAATAATATGTATGCGGAAAGATTGGTTTAATTTTACAAAGTAGACCATCATGCCACACTTTATCAAAGGCCTGTGAGACGTCTAAGAAAGCTGTTGTGCAAAATTCCTTCTTTTCCAATGCCACAGCAATTGTATCAATCACTCTATGACATTGTTGTATGGTAGAGTGTGCAGGTCTAAATCCAAATTGGTGATTAGGAATAACATTGTTTGCTTCTAAAAATGGATAGAGCCGTTTTAATAATGATTTTTCAAATATTTTGGAAAATAAGGGTAAAAGACTGATAGGCCTATAGGACGTGACTTGGTCTAAAGGTTTGCTTGGTTTCGGTATCATTTTTATGATTGAAAATTTCCATACTAGAGGAAAGTAAGTAAGTCGAAGGATAGAATTGTAAATAGCTGTCAGGAAGATTAATGCTTTTTTGGGTAGAAGTCGTACAATTTTAGGTGTGATTAGGTCAAAGCCAGGAGATTTTCTGCGAGGTAATTTTTTAATACAAAATTCTATGTCCGAAGGAGTTATAGGGGAAGGAGGTAGAGAAAGGGGAAGAGGAGAAATTAGGATTTGTTGGACGTCTGAGCAGTGCTGTTGGTCAGGCAACTCTTCATGTGGATGAAATACGTCTGTAAGATGAGTAGCAAATAAGTCTGCTTTCTCTTTATCGCTTCTAGCCCATGAGTTGTCTGGTTTACGGAGAGGAGTCTTTGTTTGGTGGTACCCTAGTATCTTTCGGGTTTGTTGCCAGAGAGTATTGTTACTTGTCTGTAAGGTGGTCAGATGTTTTTTGTAAGTTTCCTGTTTGTATTGTTGTATAAGTTTTCTAAGTTTGTTGGAAAGTGCGTTTAGTATCTGTTTGTCACTGGGATAGCGAGATCTTTTCCATTGGTTGAGAGCACGTCGTTTTTCAATTAGAAGTGATCGTATTTCCGGGGGTAAGTACTGTTTGTCGCGGTTGATCTCGTACTTGTGTGCTGATTGCCAAGCGGCAGTTTGTACAGTCTTAGTAAGCGTCTCTACTGCATTGTCAATATCATTTTCCGTCTTTAATCTTGTGTTCAGATCAATAGTCTTATTAATAATGGAATGAAATTTATCAATTAATATTGGTCCAGGAGTTAGTGTAGGTGTGTGGTTGATAGTAAACATGTGTCTAGAGAAAGATAAAATAACCGCTGAATGGTCTGATGATAAGTCGTTACTAATAGAGATATGATGGTGTAGTGTGTGTAGGCTAGAAGTTATAAAGAAATCAAGTAATTCTGGTTGACGGTTTATGTCTGTCGGCCAGTAAGTCGGTTCAGGTGGTAGTATGCAGTTATAGTCCAGTTCTATACATGTATTAAAAAGAGAGTTTCCTCTAGAACTATAGGTCCTATTGCCGAAACGGGCATGCTTGGCGTTAAAATCGCCTCCACATAAGAATTTAGGTCCTAAGCTGCCAAGTATGTCTGTAAACGTTTCTTGTGAAACTCTTTGTCTCGGAGGACAATATGCACTGGCAATAGAAATTTTGGTGTGATCGATTTCAACCGAAATAGATGATAATTGAATTTCTGGTAAGGCAGTCATTTGAAGAGGATAGTGGTATAATGTTCGTTTTACGACTATTGCCGAGCCACCACGGGCAGTACCGCTGGGATGGTCAGCGCGGTACAATACATACCCTTGTATGTAAAATGTTGTAGTTTGAATAAAATGAGTTTCTGTTAGTAATGCAATGTCAATGTCATTTTCATGTAAATAAATGTCAAGTTCATTCCTTCGGTGTAGGGCTCCATTTGAATTCCAAAGAAGGATTTTTAGAGAGTGTTGTGAGATAGAATTAGGGACTAACATGAGGAATAAATTTGGTAATTAGCGTGGTGAGAAGAGTGATGAGCGGAGTTATCATAGATTTAAAATCGTTTAAGAAGGAATTAAAATATAATGAGAGATCTGGAGTATTAGGTTGTGTATTAGATGTTGTGTGATGAGGTCTTGAGTATGAAGTTGACGTGTATTGATACGGTATGTATTGAGATTGGGTATAATGAGGTACTGAACGGTCAGGGATTATACTCGTTTGGTTTATTGAGTGCTGAGGAGTTATACTTGTAGTATGAGAAGTAGTGTATTGAGGAGATATATTTGGAGTTCGAGGATCTGTAATTTGAGAAGTCGTATGATGAGGAATGGTATTGTGAGGAGATATATTTGAAGTTTGGGGATTTGTAATTTGAGGAGCTACATGATGAGGAATGATATTGTGAGGGATTACATAACGAGAAGATTCATTTGAAGTTTTGGGATTTGTAATTTGAGTTGTATGATGAGGAGCTATATTGTGAGAGATTGCGTAGTGAGGAGTTACACTCGTTGTTTGAGCAGTTGTGAATTGTGGTGTTGTGTTGTAATATGTAGTTTTAGTACACGTTGCCTGTGCGTAAGTCGTGTTGTGTAGTTTTTGCGAGATAGGGACGGTGTAAGTAAGTCGGTCGTGTTCTGCCTCTGGAGGCAGGTGTTCTGTTACCTCTCTACTCGAAGTGGCCTGGTTCCACACGTTGAGTCTTCTTTTCTGCAGCTCTAGATGCACTATGCATCCCCTATAGTTCGCAGGATGATTGCCACTGCACAACGCACAAACAGGTGGCTCTTCAAGTGGTTTCTGGCACCTATCACTAGGATGATCTTGACCGCACTTCACACATCGTGGTTTATGATGGCAAAATGTTCTGGTGTGCCCGTATTCTTGGCATCTCATACATTGAACAATATTTCTTCTTTTGTAAGGTTTTTCAATCCTAACTCTTGTGTAAGCCAAATTAGTGATATTAAAAACTTCAGCATTGTTTGGAGCTGGCTCTAAGTCAACAAAGAAGAGTGGGAGTGGTTCTTTTGATCTCGGGTGTAACACATTAGTGATGAGACGGATGTTGAATCCTTTTCTTTCAAGGTCATATCTTATCATTTCGTGTGGTGTTGAATAATGGAGATTTCTAATAACAAACCTATATGGTTTGTCTTCTTGGGATTGATAAGTGTGAAAGTTGTAATTGTTGGTTTCTAAATATTTAATGCAGACTATATAGGCTTCACTTGTTTTAATTTTTAATGTAACAATAGATTTGTTAGAGAAACATTCAAAATTATTTTCTCCTAAAAGGCTTACTAAATTCGTGCAGAGAGTTTGGAAGTTTGTTATGCCTTTTATTTTAATTGGAGGTGGTTGATGAGCAACCGTTGTTTCGTCAGGTTCGTCTTCCATTTCCGTAGAAAGAGGTTCAAACCTATTACTGACCGGAACGTTAGGGATACTATTTATTGTTGTTGGTGTATTTGTTGCATTTGAACTCTGAACAACATTTTCTGGTACTCCAGTGTTGTTAGCATCATGTTCTAGTATAGATTCAATGATATGGGTCGTAGAGTTATTATTTTCAATAATTAAAGTATTCATTTCAGTATTCGTGGAGTTAGGGAGGTTATGTGAATTAACATATGTTTGCTTTTGGTTAGGATTTTTTGATGTTGTTTTTATCACAGAATTGTTTGAACTCGCTCTCTTTTTCTCATTTGTCCCGTCTTTCGATGAAATACTTGAAGTGGATCTTACCTTTCTCTTCAGCAGTTTTGACAATACGGCCTGATCCGACAGTCCACTCGAGCCAGCTAACTGGCGTGCACTCATAAGTAAAGTGTCTGTTTTCACTTTAAAAAACTATACAAACAGATTATGCCTTTAAAGAGAACACATTTTCACTATAAGACACATGGGTAAGAAAAATAGCAAGCTTATCTGTCCCTGGAAACCAGACACACGAAAGTAAATAAACTTATTTTCTCGGAAACCAACCAACAGCGGGCCTATTGTACTGAGATCAAAGCCGCAAACCGCGATGTGCACCCTTCGAAGGCTGGAAGGGAACTTAGGAATATTCAGAGGACAAAATAGCGTCCTCACAACTGATTGGCCCCTTGGCTCGTTGACAATTGAAATTAATACTAATTTAAATATATATTACATCTAAAATCCCAAGATTGTTAAATGAGTTTACAATCATGAAGAAAAAAAAAACACTTAAATTTAAAAAATATATATATCATTTCTATAAAAAAATTGGTTTGTACGAAGTCTTTTTCAAACCAATTTACATAGTACAGATTTTAATAGAAATTTTTACTTTTTTTTTATTTATATGATATTTAAAACTGTATACAAAAAATACATGTAGTAAATTCGCACATGGATATAATGACATGTTGAGAAACCACCCATTGGTAGCACTCTAATAATATGTCTATATTAGGAGATTACGTGGGCATCTTCTTTTCAGACGCCTCGGAGGGTTATCAGGAATTGAAGAGGAAGCAAGGTTAGAAACAAGAGGGTTGGAATGGTTATGAAGTTTATTATGGAAGGACACTTAGCTGGATTGGGCCAAATCTGATATATAAGGAACATTAAGGTCATTATGGATAATTTTATTTTTAACAAAGTAAGGATCATTGAGGATTTTACGTAGGATTTTGGATTGTAAGGATTGGATACGAGAGGAATTCGAAGGTGTGGTGGAGCCCCATAGCTCAACTCCGTAAGTCCAAATAGGCCTTATTGTAGTCATGTAAATGAGTCTTTTGTAATTAATTGGAAGGTTAGAGCGTTTGTCTAGTATGTGTTGAAGTAGTCAGAAACGTTGAGCTGTTTCTTGTCGTTTCAGTCTGGTATGAGGATTTAGAGTTAGACGTTTATCCAGATGGAGTCCTAGGTATTTTTAAAGTTAAATCTTGATTTAACTACTTCCTCTCCTCCACATTTAGTGACTGGTACTTTTGAAACCAGTCGAATATTCATGCAAATGATACAAACAAGTCCTAGAAGAGTACTAATCACAAAACACTGTTATACATTTATCCGTTAGCTAAGCAGTGGCAACAGAAAATATTACTGACCTCTTTTGCTCTGTCACATCATGACAGCTGAGCGAGAGCGATTGATTGTGCAAAGGACCTTGTGCTCAATACTAGGGCTTTCCTGCTCCATTCATATTTAAAATTCTTTTTTTTTATTCTACCAAAGAATGGAAAAATATTATCTCGATCGATTTGTGTTTAGCATTTTTGATAATTTATAATTCAAATGATTCGTTATACAGGGTATCCCGTAACTAGAGAGAACTTTTTATAGGAGTCGTAAATCTCAAGCGCTACAAAAAAGTTTATGTGAATAATGGCCTAATTTTCAGCAGAAATGTAGAAAATCCAAATTTTGTGTTTTTTTTAAGTGAGTCGTGGTTTTTTATTGAATCGAAAGCAATAACTAATGAAATATTTAATTTAAATAATTAATAAATGCTTCATGGTAAACAAGATGAAATTTATCATTGTTAAAACCATTTACGGAGGACTTTTGAGCGACTAAAGTAAGCTGAGTCCTGTATTTAGAAAAATCATAATTATTCACCTTTTTTTTTTATATCATATAACTAAACTACTGTCACTCCACTTTAAAAAAAACTTTTTCGTTTAATAAGCTTTAAGATCGTATTAATTGATTTAAGGTTTATTAGAGAAATATTTGAGATTCAGCTTCGTTTTGTAAAAAAAAAACGATGATTTTTTTATCGTTTTCTGCATAAGTTATTACAATTAAATTGCAAAGCTTATATTTCTTGTTTTTTAAGATCTGAGATGTATTTTAATAAACCCGATTGCCTAAACACACATTTCATTTATATAAAAAATTAATTTGAAAATTAATGATTTAATTTATTTCTTCCGGTTAATCGGTTCTCATCTATGTTTTTCACCCAGACCTCTATTTTAAGAATTTATCCGTATTTATAAGTGACAATATAAAAGTTCCTGATTCAATATTAACGTTTTAATTAAAATAATTAGCAGTTTTTTTATTTTAAACGTAGATTTTAGAGATAAAAACTTTTATTTTGTCACCACAGATACAAATCAATTCCTATAATAGAATTGTGGGTGAAAAACACAGTTTATATCCAATTTATCTCCAAAATAACTATTTTTCGAATTAATGTTTTTTTGGAAATAAAATGTGTGTTTAGACAATTGGGTTTATTATAATACATCTAAGATCTTGAAAAAAACAAGAAATAAAAGCTTCGCAATTTAATTGTAGTAATTTTTGCAGAAAACAGCGGTACTTTTACTAAACAGGATAAAAAAAAAATATAATCATTCTTTTACAAAACTTGAGCTGAATCTCAAATTAATTAATACGAACTTAAAGCTTATTAAACGAGAAGTTTTTGTGAAAGTGGGGTAACAGTAGTTGGATGATGATAAAAAAAAAATCGTGAATCATTATATTTTTTAAACAGATCTTAGCTTAGTTTAGTCCCTTAAAAGTCCTCTGTAAATGATTTTATCAATGATAAACTCTCTGTCCATTTTAAGCAAATTTCATCTTGTTTACAATAAAGCAATTATTGATTAATTAAATTAAATACTGTTTTAGTTATCGCTTCCTATTCAAAAAGAAAGGCGACACTTAAAAAACACACAAAACTTTAATTTCCTACTTTTCTGGAAAAAAAATCGGACCATCGTTTATAAAGTTTTGTAGCTCTTGAGGTTTGATTTCACTCCATTAATTATTTTCCTCTGCTTCTGGAACACTCTGTATAATTCGAAAGAGAAAGAGAGAGAACGAGTATAATTCGTAAATAAAGTACATATATTAGTACTCAAAAGCACAATTTGATTGTATTATAATTTTATTACATGAAAAAAAAACTCTACCTAATACAAATATAAAAAGATTTAACGACATAGGCAGTGACAAAGTTTTAAGCTGAGGTTCAAGATTCTCTAACAACCCCCGAGAGGCACTTGAAATTAAGGGCCTACCCAACTCGTTTTAAACCATCTCTAATTCCATTATGAAGTACATGAACAATTTTACTGACTTAAGAAGTTAAAAAAAAAAAGTTTAAGTTCAGAAGATAATAATATTACACTAGGTAACAATAGAGAGAAAATAATTATTTCTTATTAGAATAAGTAAGACATTTCTTTCGTGGTTCGAGCTTATTGAGATCGATCCTTGGTGGTCTTGAGATCAAAGTATTTCTATATCAGTTCCTAGCTAGGATTGGAGTGTTGTATTTTTATATGATAATACATTTCAATTATCAAACTTTAAACATTAAATCGTTTTTTATCTGTTCCAAAAATCTGATCCCGCTTTTGGAGTATTTTTCTTTGACGTTTAATGAAATTTTTGAGAATCCCTTGTTTACAATAAGAGCAAGAAAGTTAAACTTGGTTTAAAATGAAAGATTAATTATATATAACGAAAGGGAATCAGAGAATCCACGCCTGTGGGGCTTCCTAAATAAGATTTTGTGGGAATTTCCATCGCTTTATGAAAGAGTATAATTTTTGTTTTGTTTAATCAGTGTGCATTGTTATGGCACATTAACAAAGAATTTATTTTTTATTTTTATGACAACGGCATTAATATTATTTTTAAATGTGACTTTTTGTTCAATATTAAATTGTATATACAAAATATTTTTACTGATGACAATTCAAGGTACCCCCACCAAAAAGGTGGATACGGAGAAGTTTAACTTTGTCAACATTACTTGAAATTTTTAACCATCAACAATGTTGATGATAGGTGATAGGTTACAACGACCTGTCCTGACCTGAAGGCGCACAAGCGTTGAGCCATCCACATTCTCCTCGTGCTTAGCAGGGCATTGAGATTCCCCCTCAATAGCTTCTATCATTCTAACCAATTCATGTTTATTATCTCTTACATCATAGAACCATTACTCTCGTATTGAATCTCGACGCTCTCACCGTGGTTAGAATAGGTTCGTAGTCCTCTTCCGTGCTTCACTACGGTACTAGGAAAGCATGAGGACGTTAAACAAAATCAACAGAAAAAAGGTTTATGAGGATTAGGAGAAGTTGGTTAGAGTGCTGTCAGTGATGAAATTACACACAAACAAGAATCCTTGGTTTATTGTGTTTCTACGTTTTATACCTTCATTAGGACCACTCTTTTGAAACCATAAAAACAAGTGACGTAAGTCTTCACTAGGAAAGACTTACCTTATAGTCTTACACTAGGAAATACTGGTGCAAATCTATTCTAACATTAGTATAAACCTGTTTAGTGTTTTAGAGTTATTATAATTATTAGTAAAGTGAAGAAATTAAAAATTTTATTGTTTTGAAGTGAGAAACATGATAACGTAGTAAAACATGTGGTACGTGCTGTCAGAACATGTGCTATCTTATAGAACAAAAATAAATCAAAGAATTTCATGATTATACATTTACCTTTTGGAGATAGTCCATGCATCTTAGAACTCTTTATTTAGTTACGAAAATTCTATTATCAAAACTATGATTTTTTAAAAATAAACAACACTTTTTTAGTCTTTTATTTTAAATTATTCTTAACATGTTGATGCATGAATAATTAAAAAATTAATAAAATGAACTATCTAATGTTAGTTGTAATTCTTTTTTCGTTACCTAATGTTTTCTTTCAACCGAAAACATGAATCTCCACCAATATTTAATGAATAAAATACTTATACTTTACAATAGAAAGAAATGCGTAAATATGTTGACACACCATTTACGTCACAAATGACGTAGCACACATGGACCTTAAGTTATCCCAATAGGTATAAACACATCGAATCATACATTGAATAAATATTAATAATAATTTGATAATCTCCATAAAATATTATCTTGCTTGAATACATAGAACATGACTAAATCGCTAAAAATCTTTCAGAAATATAAAACGTGCTCGTACTTGACAGCCGATAAATTTTTTTTTACGGAATAACGATTTGCTGGATTA